CCCCTTTCCTTTTACCCCATACCATCTTTTCCCACTCCAGATCCCCTTTTCCCACCCCAAATCCTCCTTCTTTCATCCCAAAATCTTCTCTATCCACCCTAAATCCTTCTTTTTCCTCCCCAAATCTCCTCACCCCAAATCCTTCTTGTTTCACCCCAAATCTGCTTCTTCCACACCAGATCCCCACCCCAAATCCCCTTTCCCAGCTCCCCAGGGGTTTTTGGGGTTCCCAAGGGGTTTTTGGAGTTTTTCCCAACATTGTACCCAGCATCTCTCTGCAGACATTGCACCTGGAGCTGCCCCAAATAACCCCAAACAAACCCCAAATAATCCCAAACAAACCCCAAAGAAACCCCACTGTGCCCCTGTAAGAGGCCGTCTGAAGACCCTCACTCATTTGCCTGCCAATTGCCACGAGAAGGAACTCCCTTCCCCCACTGCAGTTCCGGCTTGGAGAAGGCAACAGTGCAGGTGCAGCCGCTGCACCGTTACGTTCTGTTCCAAACGAGGCCCAGCAAGAACTTGGCAAGGAGTTGGCAAGGACTTGGTGAAGACCCAGCGTGGACGCAGCAGAGTGGCCTGCTGCAATTCCTGCTTCACTCTCCACCTTTAAGCCAAATGAACTGTTGGGGTGACCCAACAGTGACCTCTTCAGTGACGTCTCACTGAAGACCCCTCATCTGCCTCGTTACCACCGTGACAGATGGAGATCAAGAACCCTCTCCCCAAGGACTGAGACCCCTACCACAGAGGGGGGGGGGGGGATGACATGACCTGTTCTTCTCCAGTAACTTCAATGGACTTATTCATCATCGTGTTTGTTCTGCCTGGATGAGCAATTTCAATAGGCATGTTCCCCCCCTTTTTCCCTCTGTGGACTATAACTGGACCCCTGGGTTGGGCAGGATTTTGGAGACTCTCCCCAACACAACAAGACGGATCCCCATCGTCCGGACCACTGAGGACCCCGTCTGTGTTGGTAGCTATTCCCATCCCCCCTTCTCTCCCCTTTTTATTTCTTTTCTGACCCCACTATCGCATTTATTGGTTTTGGCCCTTAATAAAGGTGCATCTGTTGTGATTAAACTGATAGTCCCCTGCTGTTTGTCTTTTGCACTTTGGGATCGGCTAACGAACCATCACGACACCCCACTATAAGCGGATCGTGACAGCCCCCCAGGGCTGGAGCGGGTTTTGTGGGGGCGTGACCCCAACCTTTGGGGACTGGGGGGATTTGATCCTAAAATTTAAGGTTTGGGGATGTCTTGACACCTCAGGATTTGGGGTTTGGGTGTTTATGACCTCAGATTTTGGGATTTGGCAGGTTTTGACCCAAAATTTTGGGGACTGGGGGCATTTTACACCCCAGGGTTTGGGATTTGGGGGCTTTTTGTCCCGAGGATTTGGGAAGCGGGGGGTTTGACCCCCAAACATTGGGAGCAGGGCATTCGTACACCCCAGATGTTTCAAAGCCTAGGATTTGGGGTTTGGGGGTTTTGACCCCAAAGTTCGGGAATTGGGGGGATTGACCCCAGGATTTGGGGGAATTTAACACTGAAGTTGGGTGGATCAGGGGGATTTCACACCCCAGGGTTTGGGATTGGGAGGGGCTTTGACGCCAAAGTTTGGGGATGAGGAGGATTGGACACCCCAGATATTTCAAACCCCAGGAGTTGGGAATTGGGGGTTTTAACCCCAAATTTTGGGCGTTGGGGGTGTTTGACACCTCAGGATTTAGGATTTAGGGGTATTTGAGCCCAAACTTTGGGAATTGGGGGTGTTGAATACCCCGAATGTTTCAAACACAAGGATTTGGGGTCAGGGAAATTTAACCCCACCGTTTGGGAATTGGAGAGTGTTGGACACCCCAGGATCTGGGATTAAGGGGGTTTGATCCTAAAATTTGGGGGTTGGGGGAGGTTGACATCCCAAAGTTTGGGTTTGGGGGTGTTTGACCCCGGCAGTGTTTGAACTCCCAGGATTTGGGGTCGGGGGGGGTTGACCCCAGGATTTGGGGTGTTTGACCTCCCCGGGTTTCGGATCGGGGAGAGACCGTGACCCAATCCTGGACCCCGATCCCATGGAGAGACCCCGCCCCAGTCACGGAATGGACCCATTCCCTCAATCACGGACCCCTCCCCCATCCCAGCCCCTCCCCCAGTTCCAGCCCCCTCCCCAGCCGCTGAAAGGACCGTCCCTCAATCCCAGCCCGCCCCAATCCGGATCGGAGCCATCCCCGGAGCCTCCCCCATTCTCGGACCGGACCCTTCAATCGCTTTTGAGGCAGCTGCTGCCGCTTCCATCCCATTCTTGGGGGTTCCAAACGGCTCCGGGGACCCTCCGCATTTTAGGGGTTTTGGGGCGGCCCCAGGGCTGCCCCGATGCCCGAGGGGAGATGGCAATCCACAAATCCGAGGGGCTCCTGGGGGTCCCCAGTTCCTCCCGTTCCCACCCCGAAGCAGATCCTGGCCAATCAGAGCGCGCGACGCTGATGACAAACCAGTTGTCGGACAAAACCTCAGTGCACTGGCCCCTCCCGGCGATTTTCAGTCAATCAGCGCCCGGCGCGGCTCTGACTCATCGGTTGCCAGTCAGAGCCCAGCGCCTCTCACAGCGCTAGCCAGAGACTTGGAGGGGCCATTTCCAGCCAAGCAGAGCGTCTTTCGCTGATGATTCCTAAGTTGCCAGGCGGACCCGCAGCGCCCAGCGCTCCCCGGGAGCGGAATTTGGGGAGGGGGAGGTGACCCTGAGGATGGGGATGGGGCGTGCGGGGGCAGCTGGGGCCGTACTGGTGGCACTGGTGGTGCTGGGAGCCCCCCCGGCCGCGGGGGGAGTGGGGAGCGAGGTGAGAAGGGCGGCGGGGGCCCCAAATTAAACCAAAGGGGGGTCGGGACCCCCAAACGGAGCAGGAGGGGCCTGTAACCCCCAAAACCAAACACAGGGGAGGGGAATGGGGATTGGGGGAACGATGGGGAAGGGGCGGGAGAGTGAGGGAAAGAGAGGGATGGGACACCCAAACAGGATCAAGCCAACTTGATGTGGCCACCTTTATAGGTGGATGGTAGCCAAAGGTAGCCAATGCTTTTCTCCCAGTCCATGTGATCCCACTTTGTGCAACTACAGTCTGTACAAACCCAGTCCACTTTATCCCAGTCCATTTTATCCCAGTTTGTGCAATCCCAGTCCAGTTTATCCCAGTCCAGTTTGTCCCAGTCTGCATAAACCCAGTCCAGTTTGTCCTAGTCTGTGTAATCCCAGTTTGTACAATCCCAGTCTTTTATTATTCTTTTATTATTTATTATTTATTATTATTTTTTCTATTAACTATACATATTTTTTTTGTTTTACTTCTGTTGTTAAACCTAACCGTAATTAACAACAGAAATAAAAACGGTATCTTTATAACAAAGTTCCTTTAACACCACACATATAAAATAAATTTTAATATTTGCAAAAAGCCAATACTATAATATGTATGTATAAAACATACTTGTATCAGCTATTTATAGTATATATATTATATATATTCCAGAGTACTTTATATATATATAATATTTTGCCAGTGCTCCCATGAAAATTCAACCTCAATTGAATGCTGTGAAATGCAATCGGGAACAGAGAAAAGCAGGCCCAAGCTTAATAACAAGGGAAAAAAACCCCCACTTTATTAAGCTACTACTACTATACTACTATAAAAGGAAAAAGAAAGAAAAAACACACACAAAATTCAAAATGAAAACCTTCCAAAGCATTCCTCCTCTCACCACCCAACTCCAACAAACCACAGCGAGACACAATCTGGACCCCAATCAAGTTTCCACCCTCCAGACAATCGATACTTAGTCCATCGAGGGAGAGAGGAGTCCCTCCCGTGCCACAGACCCCCCAGGAAACACAGCTGCCACATCCTGTGTTTCCATGTCACACATGGCACCGCCCAGAGAAAAAGTTTGATATGGTGGCCCTCTCCTTTCCATGCACAGTGCTCTCACCACCAATGCATGGATGGACAGACTGCTTTTAGGATTCTTCCTTTCAAGGATAACTCAGAAGGAATACAATGAACTGGGTGGAGGGAGGAATGACAGGCAGATGGAGGAGGGAGGAGAAGGAAGGCTGGACCATTTTACAAAAAGAGGGGGACAGGGAGTAACCATAACTGGGGGGAAACTTAAAACACACTCCAACAAGGCTGCACTGCACGCTGACTGGAACCAAAGAGAGCGAGTTCTCCTCGGAATTCTGCTTTTAACCCCTCTGTGTTCTCAGAGGCGTGTCCACCTTCAATTGGTCAATATCCAAATTGACCTCTTCCTTCTGAGAAAAATTCTTTTTCCGTGTCAAACCACGACATATATATAGTTTTAATATATTTTATAAATATATAAATATTATATAAATATCATATAAATTTATAATATTTATATATTTTTATAATATTAATATATTTTATTATATATATAATAACAATAACTTTGTTATTGTCTTGGTTTGAAAAGCCAGGTGTCTGCTGAGAAAGGCAGGAGCCTCCCCTGAAATGGAAATTATCCGTCCCTGCAGATTATTATAATTATTATAATTATTATCATTTTGAAATTAAGGGGCCCTCAGGCAAAGATATGGGAGCAGGAATAACAGTTCTTTATTGGGGAAAATTAGAAATACAAATGCAAAGTGGGAAAAGGGCTGATACTCTGTGAGTCCATTGGGAAAAGGGCTGATCTTCTGGGAATCCAGTGGGAAAGGGCTGATCCTCTCAGAATCCAGTAGGAAAAGGTTGATCCTCTGGGAATTCAGTGGGAAAAGGCTGCTTGTGGTATTCCAAGCCTCCAATTCTATCCAGGCGGGAATGCTTGCCTCCTCCCCCTGGGCAGAACAATTCACAGTGGGATGATGCTATTTTATCAGCAGCGACACTCATTGGCCCATTAATACAAGATAATTAATAATTAATGGTCCATTAATATCTCCTGGAGGGAGGATTGGTTTTGGAAGAGATAAAGAAAACTGCCCAATGAACAGAAGGTACCTGCCCCACCTCTGACAGATGGCAAATAGAACACACACTTATCTTGCAGTCCAGGACATGTACTCACTGGCTTCCCCTATTCTCCGCAGTTCATGGTGTCTAGGGAGGGTGCAGCTGCCGTTGCTGGGAACAAACGAGACAGGTCTTGGTTTCACAAAGCTCCAGAATCCATTTCTTACCCCCAAAAGACAGGACAAAGGCAGGGCTGTGGGGTTTGTATAGGGTATCCCAGGGGTGGAGTTAGGGTTTGGGTCAAGGGAGGAGATGTTAGCAACACAAGAAGGGTGAGATCAAACTCCTGCCTCTTAGCAACAGGGGCACTCCACACAGAATGTGTCCCCAAATCCTAAATTCCCCCTCAAACACCTGTGAAATGGTGGGACTTCAGATATTTTTAATCAATTTCTTTCATTTAACCCCGTTTTGGCTGATTTGAGGGATGAATATGAAGCAGAGGAAAATTAAGGCCAAACCAAAAGGAAAACCAACCAGGTGTATTCCCAACATGGATAACAGGGAATGGGGGGCACCAGAGCTCTGCCCAACATGGGTCCTCCAGTGGGGGATGGAGCTGGAGCAGTACACGAAGCTCTCCCCGCACTCGGGGTACTTGCAGGGCTTCCCTTACCGGTGCCTCCACTGGTGTTGGGTCAAGTGAGAGCTCTGTGAGAAGCTCTTCCCACATTCCCCACACTTGTAGGGCCTCTTCCTCGTGTGGATGTGCCGGTGCCTGACGAGGTTGGAGTTGAAACCCTTGCTGCAGTCAGGGCAGCAAAGGGCCTCTCCTCCATGTGACTCCGATAGTGCTGGAGGAGATGGGAGCTGGTTGGAAACCTCTTCCCACACTCGGAACACTCATAGGGTCTCTCCCCAGTGTGGATCAGTTGGTGCTGGATCAGGCTGGAGCTCTGTTTCAAGGTCTTCCCAAATTCCCCACACTCGTGGGGCCTCTCCCTGGTGTAGATGCACTGGTGGGTGACAAGATGGGTGTTCTGCCTGAATGCCTTGCCACAGTCAGGACAGAGGAAGGGCCTCTCATCTGCATGAATCTGATAGTGCAGGAGGAGATGGGAGGGCATCAGAAATGTCTTCCCACACTCGGAACACGTGTAGGGCCTCTCCCCGGTGTGGAGCTTTTGGTGGACATTCAGGGTGGCATGCTGCCTGAACCTTTTTCCACACTCCCCGCACTCGTAGGGCCTCTCACCAATGTGGGTCCTCTGGTGCCTGATCAGGTGGCAGCTCTGGCTGAAGCTCTTCCCACACTTCCCACACTTGTAGGGCCGTTTCCCGGTGTGGGTCACCTGGTGCTTGATCAGGGTGGAGCTCCTCCTGAAGCTCATCCCACACTCCCCACACTCATAGGGCCTCTCCTCAGTGTGGATGTTCCGGTGCTGGATCAGCTGGGAGCCTCACCTGAAGCTCTTCCCACACTCTGAGCACTTGTGTGGCTTCTCCCCATCATGAACCTGCTCATGGACCACCAGCTCTGAGCTCTAGCTTGATCTCCGGCCACCTCCCTGGCCCAAGATGGGTCTTTCCTCCTCAGATCCCTGTGATCTGCATTTGCAGCCCCTCCTCATGGGGGATCTCCAGGGCTTTTCCTCCCCGTTGGGTTCCTGCACCGTGGAGCTGCTCAAAACAGCCTCTTCCATGAGGTTCTGCTGTGGGGATTTGTCCTCCCTGGTCTCCATCCTCAGTTCCTTGTCTGGGGGAGGAAGGACAAGGAGAGGGTGGGATTTGCCTCCATGCCAGAGGGAAGGGGAAGGAGATCCCCCCAGTGCGTCCCCAGCAGGAGGGCACCGGCAGTGGGTTGTCCTGCAGCCGGGGGTCATGCTTGGCTGGGAGATGGAGCAGGAGAGAGGGGGAAAGGGGCAGTGACTTCCTCCTCACCTGCCTCGGTGTCCTGGGACATCTTCTTCTTCCTCACAGCCTCCCAGGGGCTGGGTATGGGAAATCCTGGTTTGGGGAAAAACAAGGGATGAGCATGTTGAGTTTGAAGGTCCCTCTGCCCAAGTCCATCTCTAGAAGTCACTGATCACCTGGGCTCCATAAAAACATCCCAAACACCGAGATTCAGCCCTGAAAAAGCCTCCCAGAAGTTCCCGGTCCTTGGTCCCTCCCCTTTGGTGTTCAGGGTTACCCCCTGTCTCAGCTGCTGGGGGTTAGACTTGGATTGGGGGTCCCCCTTCTCCTCGGTGCCCACTCTCCCCAGTCTGCTGGGAATCCCAGCAATCCCAAAAGCTCCCCCCTCTTGGTTCTCCCCATTTAGGATGCTGGGCTGCCACGATCCGCTGGTACAAGTGGGGGTCCTGATGTTTCATTTTACCCATCTCAGAGTGCAAAGGACACACAGCAGGGGGACTTCCAATATCAGTCAAAGCCAATGCACCTTTTATTGAGTGCCCTCAGCAGATGAGATAGAAGGGTTAGGAAGGAGATAAAGGATAGAGAGACAGAGAAGGTGGGTGAGGGGAAATAGCTACCAACAGAGAGATGAAATCCTCGTGGTCCAGCCAACAGATCTGTATTGTCACGTCAGGGAAAATCTCAAAGTCTTTGGTTAACTCAGGGGTCTTTTATAGTTGAGGGAGCAGGTACAGGGCAGTGGAGAATAAGCTGAGAACAAGCACAGACAGTGCAGTTCCGAACTGGACAAACCAGTCCCGGCAGCGAGCAGGACCCATTGTTTCAGGACTCCTTGCCATGGGAAACCAGTCTTGGTCCAGCGATCACACCTGAGGGAACACTTGGCAGACATCCCGCTTCCGTCAGGCCAGCGCCCTGTGTTAGAATTTTAAGGGTCTCAGTCTCAGCCCGTGGGAGGGGGCCTCAATCTCCGTCCTTGACGGTGGTCATGAGGCAGATGAGGGATCTTCCATGGGGGATCACTGAAAGTTAAGTGAGTGGCATCTGGCCGAGGGTGGGGAAATTAACAGGCTGTTGTGGTGAGTGGGGATCGTGCAGCAGGTTTAAGTGTACAGAGCACGCTGCTCCTTGCCAGGCCCTGCCAGGAGCCGTGCAGCGTGGCAGCCCAGCAAACACACCTGCAAACAATCACCTGGCGAGAATCCACCTCAACCAGGCCAGAACTGCACTCAGGGTCTGCAGGGTCTGAGTCTCTGTCCTTGCAAAGGTGGTGAGGCACATGAGGGAAACTTCGGAACGTCTCTTGCACAGGGCTTTTTGAGCTCCCGGGCTCCCTTCCCCCCTTCTTCTCTGCTTTGGGCTGCAGGGGCTCAAAGGAGTCCCCCCTGCCCCTCTCCAGGCTGTTGAGGGTCCCGCCAATGGTGGCACTCCCCCCTACCTGGGCTCCCCACTTTGGGCTCCTGGGCGACACAAGGCTCTGCTCCTCCAGGCTGCCTCTGCCGGCAGCCGCCACCGGGACCCCCGAATGTCCCCCCACTGGGGCTTTTCCACTCAGCTTTGCAGTTCTTCATCCTCTAAACATCCCCCCAAAAAACCCAACCCAGGGACCCCCCAGGATATCTGGGCCGAGCTCCCCCTCCCCGCTCACCTGCGGGATGGGGGTGGGGCAATGATCCTACAGGTGGGGGCTGCGAATTCAGGGAGGGCCTGACGGTGTGCTTCCTCCTGCTGTCCTTGATACGCCTTTGTCCCTCCTCTTCCTCTTCCTTCCTCTCCTCCTCTTCCATCCCCCCTCCTCCCCCCCCCCTCGCTAACCCCACCTCCTTCTCCTCTTCCATCCCTCCTCATCCACCCGTCCTTCTCCGCCTCCTGCTCCTCCCTAAGCCCACTGTAACAGTGAGTTCATGAGCATTCTGTTTCCCCTTCCCCGGGACCCTGTGACTCTGATCAAGATAACCCTTGGATCCTCCTTTCTGCCCCAACGGGGTTGGCGGAGAGCCTGGAAAGCCCACCCTGTCCAAAACCTATATAGACCCCCTGACATTTCCTGTTCTTCCTCTCTTTTGTCCCGCTCTCCACATGGACACCACAGAATAAAGAGAGCTGTACCAGCATTATCCTGGGCTGAGAGCCTCTTTTGAATATTTTTCCCCTCTCCTGATATTCCTCCCCTCACAGCCCCTTATCTGTGAGCAAGTCGGATTATTCTATGTCTGCGTATGGGGGGAAAACTACAGTTGGCGCCCCAACGTGTGCTGCCTGTGAGCCCACGCTGAAGCTGGACCCCCTATCTCAGTGGATTTCAATAGCTTTTGGGACAGTCAACTGCCCTGTTACTCTAGCTGCCTTTAAAGCCTTTGAGTGACAGGGAGAAATCAGGGACCTTGCCTGTGTACCCCAGGCAAGCCGGCTGGAGAGGGACCTCCAGACGAGTACACACATGAACCCCGCAGTTCGCAGGCTTGGTGAGTTCTCCGTTCGCGTCACCCGGGAACGCACCTGGCTTGGAGGAGTTACCATAGTGACTGCGGGGGGCTGCTTGCGAGAGGGGGTGCCAGGAACCCTCTGCGAGAAAGCGTGGAACATGTGGGCTGAGAGTACCCACGTTCCCCGGGAAGAAGTGCCGGGAGAGAGGGTTGGAGCCGCTCCGGCAAGCGGCGGGACAAGTGCCCCTCTCCCCGCCCCCCCCTCCGCGCTCCGATTTCCACGGAGGGAAATTAGATTAATTCATACTGTGTTATAAGTCTGGTGGAGAATTGACCAGCGATACGATTAAAATAATGGGTGCAAAACTGTCGCTGGAAAAAAAGAGCACACTAACACACCTTAGCAATATCTTAAACAATGTATCATTCTCTAACAAGCTTCTCCTGCGTTTTGTATGCTGGCTGGCAGCAGAAATACCAAATTTCACTGTGCGAGAACTGAATTTGCTTTCTTTTTGGGACCAAATTGGACAGATATTAACTTTAAAAATCGAAAATGGTGAACATAAAGCTTCTTGATTTATTCCGATATTTTTACAAGCACTAAAAAAGATTTTAGAAGCAGAAAAAAGCTTACGAACGCAGACCCACAGCTCAAATACTCCCTTTTCCCCAACCTGCCCACCGCCTCAATATCCCAGCCCTGAAAACCCCCCACCCACCCCTTATTCCCCTCTAACACCTTGCTTTTCCAAGAAAAATAGTCCGGAGACGCGGCGGGATACTGGCGGCGAACATGTGCCCCAACCCGATCACCGCCTCCCCCTCCTTCTCACATTCCTTTGCTTCCCCCGCCCTCCAACCCCTCTTTCACCCCCTCCCCCCAATGCCTCCCTATCTCCCACAGCACCACCACACCCTCCTTATCAGTGCCAGCCCCCGCGTCGCCCCGGGAACATGGGCTGGGCCGGCCCCTGCACACCTCCAAGCCCCAGCGCTGAGGACGGAGCGGAAGGAGGTCAGGGCAGCCCAGCAGCTCACAGCAGCGGCGGGGCCCGAGTTTGCACTGCGGGGCAGACATCCCGGGGAGGGGGGTGCGAGCTGCCTCTCACCGGGACCCAGGGGGTGGTGGGGGGACAAAACCCTGCCTCTGCCGAGGAATCTATACCATCTGTAGCACCAGTTGCTTATTTAGGGAGAAGAAATGGTACCAGAACATATCAGCCACTACCATATAGAGACAAAACAGAAATCTGTAAAGTTCAGAGAGAATTTGGGAGGTACAGTGAGATTTTTAAAGGGATGATATGGGCAACGTTCAATTAAAATGAAATGGTACCTAAAGATATAACCGACTTGTTTAAATGTTTACTAACACCTTCTGAATATGAGATATGGGAAAAAAAGTGGAAATTGGCTTTGGAAATAATTTTGCAAGAAATACAACGTACACCCAGTGAAGCCCTTGACAGTGATGGTCATTTCATTACGATACATCATTTATGTGGTACAGGAGACATACAATGCCCAGAAAAACAAACCAGACTGTTATCTAGATCGGTTTTGGAAAAAATCTGTAATGCTGCAGAAAAGACTTTGTATAAATTACCAGGAACTGAGGTTAAATGCAGCTATATTAACATTAAACAGTTTCCTTCTGAGAGTTTTTTACAGTTTGTGGATCGTTTGAGAAGCCAAGATGAAAAACAGGTGCAAGACACCAAGATACAAACAGAGTTGTTTTAAAAAATGGCTCAGAGGAATGCAAATGAGACCTGTCGTAGGATCATTCTCAGTCTTCCTCTCGACCCAGCACCTAGCCTTGCTCAGATGATTGACGTCTGCGCCAGGAGAGCAGAGCTGCTCGATACTCCTGACAGTCATGCAACATCTGCAAAAATACAGCCTGTTACCCCTGGTGCATCAAGCCCAAGGAAGCAACCTAGGTCATCACAACAGCTGCAGCACATCATCTGCCTGCGTTGCAAGAAACCAGGACACTTTGCCAGAAACTGTCCTCAACACCAGAACCAGAGACAGATCAACAAACAAAAAAACTGAGTGCACAGCGCGTCCCCACAGCTAAAAGAGCTACGTGCAAAGATATAAATGTAGCGGGACCCACACGGGACAATGCCTCTCTCTTAACAAATAAGGGGGAGGGTGGAAACCATGGTTGGGGGGGGAGAGAAAAAAAAAATGTAAAATTTATAACTAACAAGGTTTGGCAGCCCCTAGGCCGACCTCGCCTAGGGACTGCCAAAGGATTTCATTTCAGAACCACTGATTGGAAAGTTATTGTAGTGGACCTGTCAAAGAGCTCACAAGGCCTGCAGGCATACGATATGGAACTGGACAGTGAGTATTTTGTTATTGAGGACACAACATATACACCTCCAGAGACTGAAATAGTTCCCATGACTACAAAGGGAAAAATATCCAGCCTTATGCTGTTGGCACATTGTTTACACCCTCCATTCTATCTAGAAAACGGGCAAATTCTGGCACAAGCCATTCCCATCCTGGAAGGAATCACAGTAGAAGGAAAATCACCAGAAGTCTACTGGGCAGAGTTAGTAGGAGAGGATAAACCCTCCATGGCATGCAACCTAGCACATGG